GCTATTTTATGCTGGGTAACACCATTCTAGTATTGTTGCACTATCTTTCTGCGCAACAATGGTGGAATTGGTGATCCTCTTACCATCTTGGCTTCTGAGAGACACTGACACTCTGAGAAGCTCTTTTTATACCCAATCATGTTGTCAATTGACCTAATTAGTGTTAATTTGTCTTCCAGCTGTTTGTTTTATGCTCAATTTCCTTTTTCCAGCCACTTATTGCTACTTGTCCCAACTTTTTTGGAATCCGGTTTGTTCATCTTTAAACAGTCTGGTTGGAATGGGATCTAGCAGGCATGTGGATGGTTTGGATGAGGTTGTTATTTTTGACCATTCAGAGAGCTTAACAGGACAAAAACTGTCCTAACACAAATCAGGCTCTAGCAAAATCTCCAAAGCCACACCATCTGACAGGGAATTAGGGGCAGCAGTTGTAAGGATGGTCCAAATTTTCTCCAATTGAAATAATTTTGTTTATAAAGAATCTCACGAAGTCATCACTACTTATAGTTCATGGTTCAACAGAGATGGAACTTTTAATTTGGCTAGCAATAGTACTAAATAGAAACCTAGGGTTATTTTTATTCTCCTCTATAAAGATGAATAATATAAAGTTCTAGCTTTACGGAGAGCTTTCTTATATTTTAGCAGACTATGTTTTCAAGTAAATAAAATTCTTCAATGTTAGTGGAGCGCCATTTTCTCTCCTGGTTTCTAGATGTCTGCTCTAAGGTACACAACTCAGAACTGAACAGGAAAATGTTAATAATTTTTCCTAAAAGATACACAAAATAATTTATTAACCTAAATCAGCTGTTTTAGAATGAACTGCTGTTTAAAGTGCTTTAATGAGTGTTGCTGAAAATCCGTCAAAACTTTTCTAATTCTCAGTCCTAAGTATAATTTAATAAACATACAGACTCTTGGCGAATCATGTCTCGTGTTTATCTTTGGTACATTAGGTGTCTAGCTTAAAACTACTTCAGATCACTACTGAGTTTTAAAACACACAAGGGCCACAGAACATCAGGAATTTCCTGCAGAATGGCTTTGAAATGTAGGAAGGGGAGCATTGGCACACCTTTCAAAGAAATTCTTTTCATCCGAGCAGGTTTTCAGGTGTAGATGGCGTCTAAATGGATGGGGCCACAGTGTGGGTGGGTCTTTGTTAGATTGGGAGACTGTTTCTTTGTTCAACGCTACGTAGTGCCATAACAAATATCATTAAGAAGGTTAAACTGCTGAATCAGACATTTTGTAAATATATTCTACTTTTGAACAAGTGGCTCTAGTTCTTGACAGTGTATTTCAAAACAGGACGTGGTAGCAGCTTGAAGAGGTTTTCCTCTGTGGATTAAGGTGTCCTCTGTCCCTAACCCTAACCCTGTAATCCTACACAGACACCACCATGTTGTGATGAGTGTGGGCACGGCCCCCACCGTCTGCTGCACAATGACACACTTCTTTACCTGGTCAGTTTGAAGCTGTGTTTGTGAGGAGTTACTGCTCATAATGACAAAGATATTCTCTTACCTGTTGAACTGATTTGGGGCATTTTAATTCATTTGAACTTTATTTATATAGCATTTTACGAACTATCAAAGTGCTGAACAATTCAGAACATGCCACTGAAACAAACTGGTGTTGAAATAAAGAGGATCTGAAAAGAATGTACTCATATTTAGACTCATTATTCTCGCTAAGATTCTAGAAAAACTGATAAACTCTCAAATCAAAATGTATTTGGGTTCATTTAACATCTTACCTCTCCATCAATCTGGTTTCAGGAAACACCACAGTACAATGACTCTTCGCTTAAGGTTTTTAATGAAGTTGTTGAAGCTTTGGTTGATGAGGATTATTGTGCTGGACTTTTCTTAGACCTGTCTAAAGCTTTTGACACTGTGGATCATAACATCTTGTGTCATAAACTCTCACAAATCAGTTTCTCAGATCACACCAATGGTTGGTTCTCTAATTATCTCTCAGATCGGAGGCAATGTGTTCAACATAACGGTACTTCCTCCATTGTATACCTGGATTATTGAGCATGGACTTTGTTGATGGTATTTCCTCCAGTTATCTAACTGTTAAAATGGTGTACCACAAGGTTCAGTCTTCAGACCTACCCTCTTAAAAAAATCTATATAAGTAATGCAGGTCATCACTGATGCATCATTACATTTTTATGCTGATGATACAGTTGTTTACTGTTGAGCGAGAAAAGTTGCTAAGGTTTTCCAGCTTTTACAGTCTGCTTTTGACATTATCCAGTCAGATTTGTTCCGTCTCAAACTTGTGTTAATGTTAAATGTTGATAAAATTAAAGGGATGTTGTTTTCAAACAGGAAGTCGGTTCCAGCAGTCCTTCCTTCCATCTTATCTTCGAATGGTGTTCAGATTGAGTTTGTTAATTCTTAGAAATACTTGGACATCGTGGTCGATTTGCATCTCTCTTTTAAGTCTCATGTCGAAAACTTGGTAACGAAATTGAAAGTAAAACTGGGTTTCATTTTCAGAAATAGATCCTGTCTAACTCTGAATGATAGGAAATGCCTTGTAACTGTGACTTTCCTTCCTCCATTGACTACGGTGACATTATTTACATGAACGCTCCTACAAGCACCTTCCAGATGTTGGATGCTGTCTATCACGGTGTGCTAAGATTCATAACTGGCTGTAATTATCATACCCACCATTGCACCCTGTATTCACTGGTTAACTGGTCGTCATTAACTTCACACAGACTCTCCCACTGGTACATTTTAATCTTTAAATCACTTCTTGGTCTGCTGCCTTCATACATCTCCTCTTACATGCAGTGTTCCCTCAGTGAGGACTGAACTAGGCAAAAGGGCCTTCTTCTACTCCACTCCTGTTTCCTGGAATATCTTGCAAAAAGTCTGAAGCTCTTGACCTCTCTAAGTGGCTTTAAACATCTGTTAAGATCCTGGCAAAGACTAATGCAGACATGTTCCTGTTTTTAGTATTTTACACCCCCTTATAATGTTTCTTTATTTCATAAAGGGACAATGCATATTAATCAACATGAATACACAAGTATGCCAGATTTAGCTAAAGAGGCTAATTTTCATCTGTAGTCCCCTAGCATGTTTATGTAAGAGATAAAAAAATTACAATTAACATACATAGCAACTTACATGACCTATAAGGTACTGTATGACAATTTTAAATATAGCTAAAAGTAGTGTAATTTACAGTAAACGTTTATATAAAGAAATAAAAATATGTCACAACCATAAAAAGGGGGGAAATGAAGGAAAAAGTAACAAGTAAAAAGTTGATTTAAGAGGTATTCAAAACACAAGTACAATTTTGATTATCTAGTAACCATTGCTTAAGTGATTTCCTCAAACAGTTTAATGATGTAATATTTCTTAGTTCTAATGATAGTTTATTCCAAGAATTTGGAGCCTGAACAGAAAATGACAACTGACTGAATTAACTTTTTCTAAATGTAGTTGTTTTTGTCTCGTTTATTTTTATTTTTTGGTTACTGTTTTTAGTTTAGTTTTTAGTTCATTTCCTCTATTTACTTTTCATTTTATATGCTTTTTATATGACTGTCCATTATTGTTTGTTCCTCTTCTGTTCTTTGTTTCAAACAGGGCTCTCTTGTAAATGAGTCCTCGTGACTCAGTGAGACAAACCTGTATAAATGATGATGAAAGAATGAATTTAAATGTATATATTTACTACTAAAGTTATTAAGAGAATGGTAAAACAATTAAAACAACACAATCCTTTAAACAAACAAACAAATAAAATCCTCCTTAAAACTTTTTACTTGAGTTTAAATTTTTCTCATCTCCAAACCTGGCTGGCATGACTCAGCAACAACCTCTGGTTAATATTGCTGAGTCATGCTCCAACAGATGTTGTGCTGAAATGTGTTTCCTTGGCATTTTGGATCCTGGTATGCTTTTTTTTTTTTTACATCTTTTTTGTTTGTTTGTTACTCAATCATTAAGTAGGATTCTGGTAGATGGATACAATCATATTAAAGATTTTATGTTTTTACTCTGTTCAGTTTATTTGTTTTAAAAGGACAGTGCACCCAACAAACAAAGGTTTACCCTGTAAATATGCTAGATTTTGTCATGTTTTTCATGTGTAGATCAGGGCATGCTGATGGTAAAATGTTTTGAAAGGAAAAAGATAAAGTAAAATATGCAAACAAACATACCATAATGCAACTACCGTACCCATCACTGCACCCTGTATTCACTGGTTAACTTACAAAAAGATCTGAAGCTCTCAACCATGACCTCTCTAAGTGGCTTCAAACATCTGGGAAAACCCAATGCAGACATGTTCCTGTTTTTAGTTTTCTATCTGTTTTTCACAACTTTTCTCTTTTAACTGTCCTTTTGGTTGCCATTTTATTTTACTTTGTAATAAATAAATAAATAAATTGCATGCCTCTTTTATGATTGTCTGTTGTTGTTATCCACTCTTTGTTAAATAAATCAGGTCTCTCATGTAAATGAGTCCTCGAGGCTCAATGGGATGAACCTGTCTAAATAAAGGTTGAATGAATGAATGGAAATAACACTATATGGGTGCAACTTTTCAACTCCTACCCCTTTCTGCACATAAGACAATAAAAATTAATGAAATTCTGGTGTTACAATTTCCTGCGGGATCAATAAATTTCTATCTTATCTGATCTTATCTTTTTTATTTATTTATTTATTTATTTATTTATTTATTTATTTATTTATTTATTTATTTATGTATGTATTTATCTCATAAAATAAAAATACAACGAAGAACAAAAAAGAAAAGTGCCTCATGTCTTTGTCAGATGTGACTCATTACCTGATGACTCACAGTGAGAGTTTTATCCTTCTGTGTCAAGAAGCGTACAGTTCTCCAGGGGCCACGCGCCCTGAAGTCTGGGAAGCTGGCGGGGCGACAGATAAACGGGGGTGCACATCCCGACACAACACCACAGATAGTGGGCGGGGCTTGTCGGGCTGACGCCGTGTCTCTCGGAAGAGTCGCCTCTTCTTCGTCCAGCTGCAGAGCGGAAGAAGCCGACGGTTTCCTGAGACAGGAAAAGCTCAGAGTCCGGAGGCAAGCCGTGGCTTCTCCCCACGCAGACCTGCTGTTTGACACGAGGACACACAAACTGTCCGTTACCGTGGGTAAGAACGGGGCTCGAGCCGCTCACCTCCGGTTGGTGTCCCGCCTCGCCTCGGTGAGAGATGGACTGGCTGTGCGGACCAGAGCTCCCCTTCTGGGTGAGTACCTCCACTCATGACCGCCGTGCCTCACTGCTCTGTGTTCCCGGTGGTACAAGTACAAGAAACTTTTCACAAGTACTCCATGATCCGGGCGTCGGTCCGCTCCGGCTCATGGACGAACTTTCTGTTCTGCTCTTTCTGTTGGTGAAATAACGGACAGCCTGGCGAGGAGCGTGCACACATGCAGGTTTAATGTTGATAATTAAGAGCACCAAGGATGATGGGGGGGCAGAGGCCAGAGAAGGTGGGTCTGTGATCGGAGGGGTGCCGGTTCGACTCCCCCGACAGGCGACATCAATGATGTGGGTGGGAAAGGTGAGGCACACGCCCATGAGGGCAGGCTGATGATAAAACTCACTGAAAGGAAAAAGATACAGTAAAATAAAACAAACACCACATGTCTACAACTGTTCAACTCCTACGCCTTTCTACACACAGGACAATAAAAATTAATAAACACTTTAATGTCCATCCATCCATTTTCTTCCGCCTCTCCTCGGTCGGGTGGTGGGGGTAGCAGCTTAAGTAGGGAGGCCCAGACTTCCCCTTAAATGTTTCTGTCACACCTGCCTCCACCCTCGTTTGCTCCACCTTGGGCCCCTGTGCAAGGCCCCTAAGCCCCACCATCTGCTCCCCTGGGTGCCCTACATGGCAACCCTCTGCTCCACACAGGACTCGATGGACGTCCGACAAAAATAATCACCAAGTCTTCGTGCAAGTTAGTTCACTGTGGAGACCCCCGAAGAAGGGAGCATCTTCCTTGTTGGGTCACAGGGGTCACTGTGTGAAAGGCGGGGACACCCTGGACAGGTCTCCAGTCCATCACAGGGACACCTAGGGACAATTTTAGAGTTACAGTCAGTCTAACGTGCATGTTTTTGATCTGTGGGAGGAAACCGGAGTACCCGGAGAAAACCCACGCAGCACAGAGAGAACTATGCAGGAGTTTGGCGTGGTAGTAGCTGAGTGTAATCTCCAACACCTACTGACCGATGAGCTGAGATCTGGTAGTACAACTTGACCATTAACTATAGCAGGCTGTTAGCAAAATATCTCCTGAACCACTGGATGGATTTTAATGCAACTTTCAGAAAGCAATCACTGGGTGTGCATCTAATAACGTTTAGCGCCAACCCTATACAAGATGGCTGCCGCAGCCTACTGATTTAAAAACACACATAAATGGCTAAAACTGTCATTTCTACAGCTATTGGGCTGACGTTTGGTGTGTTTGGTGTGGTAGTAGCTGAGAGTCATTCACATGACATGATGCTGACAGAACGTGTTTGACCCAAACGGTTTAACTTTCATTCCTCAACATAAGAGGTTCTTAGTCTAAAACTTTTGCACAAATGCAGCGTGTGATAAACATTTAACTTAGTTCTGTTTTCATGCTTGTCTTGCTGACACCGAAGTTGCTTTAACTTTACTGCTGTTGATCTTAAAGGGAAATTCTGGCCATTTTGATGAAAGGTTCTGTAGGAAAGTTGTAAATAATGAATATCTTACCTGTTGTAGTTTTTTTTTAAGCATCAAATTTTATCTTATAAACATTTATACCAATGCCAGTTTTACAAAACGTAGTCGCCTACATTGCATTTGGTGTAATTTGCAAGCACAGAGAGCAGGAGCAGCTAGCTGTACCACTTCACAGAGCTGTTATTTCTAACATGGGCCCGAAGCTCAGCCCAAATTTGGGCTGGACCGGGCCACGATAATGTGCTGAATGGGCAGGCTAGGTCTGTGTCAGGCTTTTGATCGCATCAGCGGACACGCACAGCTGACGATCCAATTATATGGCAACGTGGCTTGCCGTACATTCATCAGCTATTTGACTGCGAGACGAGCTGATCGGCCTTGAAACGGGTAAAATCAAGTTCAGTTAAGCTTCAGATGGGACTATACTGCCAGAAAGCGATCCATCAAAGCCCAAATGGACGTTCATTCAGTCGCTGCACTCAGCAGACGCGCGCGGCCGATGACCCAAACAGGTGAGATCCCAAAGCAGACATGTCAGAGCAGGGTCCATGTCTGAATAATGCAGCAGAAGCAGAGATTTAATGCTTTTTGTCGGCCATGAAAGGACAAACACCCCCTCGTCTCAGATCTTCTGCCCACTTTACTCAGCCGCGTGCGCCCGCTGACTGTTAATAACTATATAAGCAGTCAAAGCTTTAATAATTTTTTTTTTCATGTTTGGACCTGTAATTACTGTTCATTCGTCGGGTCGGGTGGGGTTCGGAAATTATGGCTACGGACTGGGGCCGGGTCGAGTCTGATTTAAAAAAAAAACATAATAATTTTTTTTAAGGCCCAAATGCAACTCTACTTCCCATGCTGCCTGGGCTCAACTTCAGCAGGACTTTTCGAACAATACAGCTGAAATAAGAGTGTAACGCAACACTGGTGACAACGTAAAGGTTTCAGTAATAGTGTTTGCTTGAACTGTGAGGCTTTAAAGTACGGTACTGTTTTAAGGCAGTAACATCTGTTGAAGACAGACTGTGACATCTTTAAACAACTTCAGTCTTTAAAATTTCTTACAAGGACTGTGATTTGAATCGTTACATCGCCACTGATTTAGCGTTAGGCAAGTGTTTCAGCAGAAATATGGAGCTCCTGCTAGAAGTCACCCCAAGACCACACTGGATGTGCTGCAGCTCACTGCTGCTCTTCTCGCTCGCAAATAACCCGACAATTATGTAAATAACAGTGTGATAGGAAAATAACAGTGAGCGAGAAGTTTACAAAACGGTTTTTGCACAAACCTCTGAAAGCTTGGAGATTGGAGCTGCTTTCATTGTCACAGAACCCTATTTCAAAATGGCTGGAATGCCCCTTTAATGACTTAACAAGTCTGTGTTTGTCTTCTGAGATCAACATTGAACTGGATGGAGTGAATGTGTCGGAGTACAAAAAGAAGAGCTTGATTCAGGACACCGTCGTCACGGTTAATCCAAGATTCACTGTCAATAGATAGATCGATACTTTATTAATCCGGGGTGGGGGATGTGACCGAGATGATCCAAATGGGACAAAGTCTGTAAAACGTAATAAATACGAGCTGATTTTTGTCGTTCCTCGTGATGAGAGATTCTGAACAGGCAGAGATACGACAGCCTCCAGAATGACCAGTGAAGGGAGCGGTTGTGGAACGGTTTCATCTGAACGTTTCATGTGACGATGCTGACTTCACCGTTTTCTGTCCTGCAGAAACTTTTACTCTGAGGATGCAGAGCCGCGGAACTTGCGTAATATTTGCCTTTCACGTGGCTCTACAATAGGGTGGATGTATTGCTGAGGATTAAAGTTAGCTTCATGCAAAACGTGTATCCATGACAATCTATATAATCATGCCAAGTGTGTACAGTTGGGAGCGGTTGAAGATCTTGCTTTTCTAGATGTTTCAGCTTGCTGGTGTGGTGGTGTGATAAAAGCCCTCCAAAGCCTCTTTTGGACAGAAGATAACTGACATCAACGGCTTCATCTGTGCACAGTGTTTCTCACAGAATCATTCAGGCTTTTCTGAATTGGGATTAAAATAGTTTCGAGTTTGTGCAACGTATTGCTACAGTCACAGTTTGTGGCAGGGTTGTGTCTTATCTCTGAAACTGTTTGTAATAAAGTTTTTCAAGGTTCAAACCGCAGATGTGACTGAAAATGCAACTTATCCATGAGTTTAACCAAACTCAACAGCTGTTGGGCTCATAAGAGCAAAGTTGGAGAAAACTTGAGTTTTACTTCATCTAAGGACTCCATAGTGTATCTGCTGTATCTGAGATGCTGCAGCTCCTCCAAAACACGTGCTTGACCACTCAAAGTACTCTTACGCTACAAGACACATTCACCCATTTAATTAATTAATTTACACCTGTTCACAGAGTGCGTGGTGTTCGTTTCCTTGCCAAAGACTTGTGGTGGGGGGAGCTGGGATTGAACCGCCAACCTTCCTATTAGCAGACTACTCTTCCTCCTGAGCCAAAACCCCTAAAACACACGTAAAACACACACATGTAAAACACACGTGGCATTGTGTGAAACGGCAGTTTCGTACTCATCGTTGTTAGTTTCATGTGCAGCGCAGAAGCTTTAGCTGCAACGCTAATGCTGTTGGCTAATATTGGTTTCTTCTTCTTTTTTTGCCTCAGACATTATGAAACTCGTCACAGACGCTTCACATGTTGACACATGATTGTTTGTTTGTTTGTTTTGTTTTTATCATGATTTTTGATTTGGTTTTTCTCCTGTAGCTTTAGAAAAAACATACAACCATTTCATCTAGGTGCTCCTGATACTCGGCAGCGTTTACATCTAATTAAATGTTGGCTGTTGTGTTGTTGTTTTTATACTTCATGCTGATATTGATCTTTAGACATCAAGGCTGTCAGTAGCTGGTATACATAACCAACTTTTTATGGCCAATAGGTTTTTTCCATGTACCGTAACAGAAAAATGACACAATTGCTTGATCTAAATTAATGTTTTTAACAACCCTTAGAAAAACTTGGACACTTTCAAAAGCGTCTCTTTAACATATCTCAGAACGAACGGCGTCTCGCTAACATATCTCAGAACGTATGGCGTTTTGCTAACATACAGGTCCTTCTCAAAAAATTAGCATATTGTGATAAAGGTCATTATTTTCCATAATGTAATGATAAAAATGAAACTTTCATATATTTCAGATTCATTGTACACCAACTGAAATATTTCAGGTCTTTAATTGTTTTAATACTGATGATTATGGCATACAGCTCATGAAAACCCAAAATGCCCGTCCCAAAAAATTAGCATATCATGAAAAGGTTCTCTAAACAAGCTATTAACCTAACCATCTGAATCAACGACGTAACTCTAAACACATGCAAAAGATTCCTTAGGCTTTTAAAAACTTCCAGCCTTGTTCATTACTCAAAACCGCAATCATGGGTAAGACTGCTGACCTGACTGCTGTCCAGAAGGCCATCATTGACACCCTCAAGCAAGAGGGTAAGACA